CTAGCACAAACAGAGGGCACTATGGCAGCAAAAGTTAGGATGACAAGCAGGGCAAATCTGCCGGGAGAGAAATCATGATGTATTACAAAATCACAAGGCAATCTTCTTTCGGATTATCTGTACCAAAAGAGAGGACTGCTGTGGATAACTGTGTGTGGACAGAGTTTCTAGCTGACCTGGGTCATTTAGGAGTCTGGGTCCTGTTGCCCAACAGGCTTTAGGTCCCTTGGCGTGGGGTCTGTGACTTACCTTGTCTCTGGACCGCCCAGGGAGGACTCAGCCCCACTGTTAAGGCATATAACTAGGTGGTATTTCACAGCCTCCTGCCAAAGGCCCCAAACCCATACTAGAATACCAGCTCCTTCCTAGAAGGGAAGCAGGAAGAGCAGGTGAAGGAGTGCTGGCTACAGAGTCCTGAGCTCGGAGGAAAGGGTCAGAGGTGTGTGACGCGCACAGACGGCGGGGAGGTATTTTATTCACCCATCTACCAACCACTGATTACATGCTTCCTGTGTGCCAGGGACAGGCTAAGTGCTTCACGGGTAATCTCATTTAATTCTCACAAGAGATGCAGTGAGGTGACGTGACTCACCAGGTCACCCAGCTGGTAAGGGATGGAACCGGGCTCTGCACGGAGGCCTGTTTGTGCCCACAGGCATGCTCCTAGCCACCACCCTCCAGTTTCAGGGCCTTGCTCCCTTGGGTTCTTCTGGGTCCACAGGGATGTGGGGAGATGGGCGAGGAGGAGCGTGAGAGGGCATGCTCATGGAGAGATTATATTTCCAGGAAATGAGGGCTCAGCACAAGAAGGCCTGGCCTGAAAATGGCTGCAGGAGAGGCAAGAGATCGGATTGGAGGGAGGAGAGCCCCAGAGAGTGGGAAGAGGAGCCCAGGAGAGGCAGGGCAGGCCTGGCTGACCCCTGACGTGAGGGCCTCTTGCCTAGGGCCAGAGGCAAGATCAGGTGACCTCTTGAGGTTTCAAGACATGGAGAGACAAAGCCCAGAGCGGCCAGTGCCTGGCCCAGGTCCGGGCATGCCTGCTGACCCTGGCTGGTTGGTGGCCTTGGAAGCCGCCTTCTGCTCCGGTGAGGCCCCAGCTGGTGTAACCTTGGAGGACCTGTGACATTTCTCTTGGCCTCAGGTCCAGGCCTGAGAGGGAATAGGGAGGAGAGGGGGGACTCGAGATCCCTAAACACCTTGGAGGGCCCTTCCCACCCTCCCACCCTTTCCCCAGGGTCTGGAAGGGCTGATCTTCAGCCGTGAGGGCCCAAGGTGGAGCCAGTCCGTCTGGCTCCGCATTCCATCTAAGGGACTAGAAGATGTTTGCGGGGCCCAAGTCTCCCTCACCCCCACCCCCACCCCACCCCGGCCCCACGTCCCTCTCTGTCCCATCAACTCAGCTCCCAGACCATTCAGGTGCCCCATTCCCCACTCTAGCTCCTCCAAGCTTTCTTCTTCTAATTCACATTGGGATGTGACCTGCCCTGGCTCACGGTTTCCTTGGCCTGGAATGCCCCCCCGCCCCCCCCCCCGCCCCGTCTCCATCTCCGTGTGTCCAAATCTCGCCTATTCTTCAAGGACAAGCTCAGATGCAGCTTCTTTCACAGAACCTCAAAATCCGTTTAAAATGTCAGACCCAGAAAGGGTTGTAGTGAGCATCCAATCAACCCGTCATTTTGCGGATGGGGAATCAGGGGCACAGCGTGGAGGGGGAGCAGAGCATCCAGGCTGGGAGGGGGTGCAGTACTGGGTTCAAATCATGACTCTGCCATTTACTACCTATGGATCCCCTGGGCAGGGTTCAGAGCTGTACCTGTTTCCTCAACTCTCTGATGGGGGGGTGAGGGTGAGGACCCGCACCTTCCAGGCTGCTGTGAAGGGTCAGTGAGGCAGTGTTGCACAAAGGGCCCGGCACGAATACATGTCCCTTCTCTCACCAAAGGGGCAGAGCGGTGACTTCTGATCCCACGGCCCACCTTCCTGGTGCAGGAGCTTTGCTTCTCCCTGCCACTTCCCACCAGGTGTTTGAGGCTCTCTGTGTGCTTGCTTGAGCTTTTTGGGGGTGGATGGCCACTCTTGAGGACAGGGGCCACGTCTGCTTTGTCTTCCCCGTGTCTGGTATCGGGACGGGCATGGAGGGGCTCAAGACGTGAGGCTAAGCTCAGTGACTGCTCCCCCCGTGCCAAGGGTCAAAAGGGCTCAGTGCCTGTCGGTGAATGAGTGTGTCACTGTCCTCCCTGCTTAAGCCCTCTGTTGACAGTGACACTCCCTCTGTTAACTCTTTTTCCTCACTGTTCTCCTTCCCTATATCCCCAAGGCTTCTTCACTCCCACAATGATTGTAATCAGTCCTTGGGCGGGGCGGGGGGGGGCGGGGGGGGGTAGAGTTTGCCCTAGATGAGGGAGTGTTTGGATAAAGAAGGGGGACAGCCCTCCCACCACCATGGTCCAAGCCACCACCACTGCTTTCCTGGGCTACCGCAGCCGGTCTCCCTCCTTCAACACCGGCCCTGCTCCACTGTGGCCCACGACATTCCAGCTGAGAACGCTTCAGTGGTTCCCCATTTGTCTTGGGACAAAGTTCAAACTCCTTCCAATGCCCTGCATGATCTGGCCCTGCCCCCTCACCCCCTCACTCAGTGTTGCCGTCCTCCCATCAGCTCCTCAAAGCTGAGCCGCTTCCTGCCTCAGGGCTTTACCCACTGCTGTTCCCTCTGCCCAGAATGCTCTTCCCACTTCCCATTTGGCTGACTCCCCCTCATCTTTCAGGCATCAGCCTCAGCATCTGATCAGCTGGACACAAGCCCTCATGGCCTCCTAGCTTTTCCCCTCTTGCACAGTCCTTCCTACAGCGATAATTACCAACATTCTGTTTACTGTCTTTCCCGCTAAACTGGAAGCCCCCTGAGGACCAGGACCTCGTTTGAGGTGTTCACTGCTGTGTCCCCAGTGCCTGGCATGCAGTGGGTGCTGGACAGACGTCTCTGGCTGGAACAACTGAATGCATCGGTTTGAGGACAGTGCTGTGAACTCCCAGCTCTGAGTGGGGAGCGGGGCCAGAATGTGGGGCTGGATGGCATCCCAGTTCCTCCTGCGTTCAGGGCTCACTGGGTGGTTCCATTATGTATCTCACTGAGCCGTGACCTGCCCAAACACCCAGCCCCCTCACCCGTTTATTTTCCCACCCAGAGCCCAGGAGGAAAGGTTTTCGGATTATTTCACATGTCTGGATTATCCATGAGACATCTCCCCTCCAGTGAGAAGGATCAGGAGTTTGACATTTTAAACCCTAAGCAGCTTCTCCCTGGCCTGCTTCAGATCTGCGGCTCTGCTGCCTGCAATGAGGTGCATGGGGAATGGAAGGCCATTTTTAATCTTGGTCTGGTTTCATTAGGAGGAAAACTATGCTGTCCCCCAAGAAATTCTGGTCCACTGTCTATGCCATGCAGAGTTTTAAGAGCCCAAGAGATTATCAAAGTCAACTGCCTTCAACAGATGGGGAAACAGAGGCGGGGGTGGGGTGGGGTGGAGGAGGGGCGAAAGCTTGGTCAAGGGCATGTAGCAAGTTGGCCAGTTGGGGAATGGTCCTTCCCCAGGCCTCTTGACTCCCATGTGCTGCCCTCTGCCATCTTCAGGCACCGAGGGAGCTGAGGTCAGGCAGAGAGGGGGTAATAAGTTTCCACTGACATGACTTCAAGACCCTGAGTCACCCTGGCTTCGAACAGCCTTCCCAGAGCAGGGACGGGGCTTTCCAGGAGCCCTCCTATTCATTCTCCAGGAAAAGGCACTCCCAGGAGGCTGCAGTATACTGTAGCAGAGGTCAGGGGGAGTGAGGGGCTCAGAAAGGCCCCCAGCCCACTCCATCACCACCCACCACGTCTGGGTCAATTTTTGTAACAGGTCTGTTCCAAAAGCGGGATCTCATGGGCCAGTTACGGCTGCATTTCTGGAGCAGGTTGTTCATCAAGAAAATGATTCCTCCAACTCTGTCCCGTTTTACCACTTTGCGGGCATTTCCCCTCTTTTATTTTTCTTTTCCTAAACACAAAATCTTAAGAAAACTCAACAAGGTGACAGTACCTGATAAAACAATATCTGAATACCTAACAATATTTAACGGAATTCTTTTTTTTTTTTTTTTTTTTGGCCGCGCAGTGCGGCTTGCAGGATCGCAGGATCTTTGTTCCCCAACCCGGGATTGAACCCATGCCCCCTGCAGTGGAAACGAGTCCTCACCACTGCACTGCCAGGGAGTTCCCTAATGGAATTCTTAAGAAAAGCAATTGGCTTCAGGAAAGGGACTGGCTTTTTCTAGGTAGGAAACATCCTGCCTGGGGATAGACCCGCGCTGGCTACAGGTTCCCAGGCACAGGGAGATCCCAACACCCCTGTTGAAAAATAGCCTTTGGGGTACTCTGGGAGACCAGAAAAGGACATACTGGCCACACCCTCAGCCTGGCCCTTGCCAGACTGCATCGTGAACTAAATGAAGCTCCCAGGGAGACAGGGAAGCAGGCAGGGTCAGTATCCTGGATGGGCCTCGGCGGATAATTATCCAACCTGCTTCTTTCTCCATCTGTCACATGCAGGGCGATGCAAACGCCCTCCCTTGCAAGAGGTCAAGTGGTGAGTGCTTCCTGGGACTCAGGTGGTCCCTGCCCATGACCTAGCATGGATGAGGGAAATGAACGCTTGAGGAACCGAACTAGATGGCCCCATCCATTCTATGGTCCTCCAGCCATTTCAATAACGGGACCCCCTGAATGCCCAAGCCCCACACTGGATTCCCCACTCAAGACCCCATCTCCTCCCTAAGACTATTCCCAACATCTAACGCCAGACTCCCTGAATCCCAACTCGGGTCCCCAGTCTTGTCCTCAAATCCTTCCTGCTTGTTGCTATACTTCTTCCCCTTGCCCAAGCTCTAATGTCCTCATCCCCCCACCCCACCCCCACCCCACCCCCGGCTTCTTCCCACTGCACCCGCATCCTCAGACTCACCCAGGAACAAAACCTCGAGGTCCAGTCGGCACTTCAGTTGGCACTACAGGGAGGTGACGGTGAATGTGTCCTCAGGGTGAGGTTCCGCCATGGGCCCCAGGAAGCCGCTCTTGGGGCCCCCACCCAGGCCGGGATGCGCCTGCGGCATAAAGCCTGGATACCTGTAGGCGGTATCCTGCAGGGGCAGCAGCGAGTCCCTCGGCACAGGGGACAGGGTTAAGTCACTAAGGAGTGGGCAGCCATAGCCAGCAGCAGCTGCAGCGGGGCCACGGGGTGGGCCGGGCGGCCGGGCCATCTCCATTGGCTCCTTGTCGGCCTTAGGTGTGGCCGGCGGGCTAGCCAGGTGTGGGGCACTGAGGCACGCGGCCTCCGTCCTGCCCAGGAAGTCAGCCAGCAGCCCTGAACCCACCTTGCCTTCATAGGGCGGGCTGCGGGCAGCTGAGCCTGGCGGGTACCAATATGCTGTACCCTTGCAGCTGGGGGAGTCGTAGTGGGGCTGGCCCAGCGGCAGGTCCCGGCAGCTCAGGTGGGCCTGGGCTGCAGCTGCATGGCTCAGGCTGGCCCCCTGGAGCCCATGCTTGAGGGGCTCACAGGCAGCCAGCTTTGTGGGTGGCGGCCGCAGCTCTTCCTTGAAGCCCAGGGTCGGAGAGCAGGTGGGGGAGTAGGCCTTCTGCAGGCCAGCATCAAACACCGTAGGCGGGTGGGCCAGCGGCGGGAAATGCTTGCCATCCAGCTCAGGGGCACCGAGGCTGGGCGAGTCGCAGTGGAAGCCTTGGCCGAAGGTGCCGTCCGATGGCGTGGACGGGTTCATGGAGTAGGGTCCCATGAAGTCACAGGGATCTCGCTCGCCCACGCTGAAGGCCCTCGACTGCGAGGGCAGCGGTGACATGCTGCTGTCCCCGCTGTAGTAGTCCAGGCCGAGGTCTGGGCTGTCCTGGAACAGCGGGTTGACCGGCTGGGGCTTGGGGATGAACTTGGCTTTGGCCGCCGCCCCGCCCCGCTCCTTCTTGGCTGAGCAGGCCCCGCCCCCCCGTCCACCCCGAGGCTGCCGGGGCCCGGTGCTCCGTTTGGATGGGTAGCCCGCGGCGCTGGCCGAGGCGGTTGACGGGAAGCCCAGATGTGAGGCCTCGAACAGGTCCACCTTCTTCCGCCGTCCACGGCCTGGCTTGGAGCTGCTCTGGAAGAGGACGCTCTGGTTCCAGTTGTAACCGGGAGCGGACGATGCCTCGTTCCAGTCCATCATCAGTTTCTCCAGGCTGGACAGGCTCGACTGGCCCTCGCTGCTCGAGGCCTCGCTGTTGGCACGCCGGAAACCGCCACCGCCGGGCTGATTGAACTGGGTGCTGTCGGAGGATGACTCGGAGAAGGTCTCGGACACGGCTGTCTGCTGCTTCACCTTCTGCGGCGTGTAGTTGGAGATGTCCAGGATCACGTTGGGCTCGCTGACGTGGCAGTCGAAACCGGGATTGTAGAGCTGACTGAAGGCCTCCGAGGCCCAGTCCAGGCCTCCATAGCCCTGCCGGAAAGGCCACTGAGAAGCCCCCGCAAACTGCCGACAGTTCTCAGGCGAGGGCTGGAAGGAGGAGGAGGACGAGGACGCGGCAGAGGTGGCAGAGGCTGTGGTGCCCTTGGGTACCATGTAGCCGCCGGGTGAGACCGTGCTGGCCCGGCTGTCACAGCGCAGGGGTGTGGGGGCCGAACCAGAGAAGGGGCCCCCCTCAGAGCTGTTGAAGAAGGATGCCTTGCTTGGTGGCAGGCAGGGGCCACCGGTAGGCGGTGGGGCGTAGCCAGCGCTGTGGGCGCTGCTGGGTGAGGCAGGGAGGCTGTTGCCACTGCCGTAGGCAAAGCTGCAGTCCTTGCTGTTGGCGCAGTCCTGGCCCGTAAAGGGCTTAGTGGGTGCGAATACACTTTGTCCAGCCCCGTAGCCCCCGTACTGCGGGGGGTAGGTGCTGGCGGGCGGGTGTGCGGTAGGTGAGCGAGCCACGGCAGAAGGCAGAGGAGCCAGCTTCGGGAAGGTCTCGGCTGCCCGGCAGTCTGAAGCGCCGGGGGTCAGCCCATAGCTCGCTGCCCGGCCCGGCGGGAAGGTCTGGCGAGTGGGCAGAACAGGCTGGAAGGAGGGGTCCGCCCCAGCCCCGCTGCTGCCCACCGCCACCGGGCTGGCCTTGGCTCCCCGGCTGGGGAAGGTGGCCAGGCCCCGCTGGGCGGGCAGGGCGCTGCTGGGGGGCCCTGTGTAGGTGCCTGATGCCTTCCGGGACTCGGGGCGAGAGGCTGAGAGGGCAAAGTCCAAGAGGTCGGAGGAGTCATCCGAGTCGAGCAGTGAGCGGAAATAGCCGGTGAAGAGGTTTTGGCGCTCCTGGCTGAGCTCCGTCTGGCCCGCAGGTGCGGCTGTGCTGTAGTAGCTGCCACGGCCCGAAGCCCCGCTCTCTAGCCCAGTGGAGGCAAAGGCCCGGGCCTCGGTCCCCTGGAACCCGCAGTTTCGGCCAGCTTGCCCGCCCGGGTGCCCATGGTGAGGGGCCCAGCCACCACCCTTGTCCCCGGCCCACTCAGTGCCCGCCTCCCCAAAGCCTGGGCCACTGGGCACCTGTTCCGGGAACAGAGTCCCATTCTTCCGGGACCGCCTCTTGCGTTTGGGCTTCCCAGTCACGGCGTCTACCTCCCCCCGGCCCCGTTTGCGTGGGTGCCCCAACTCAGCGAGGCCAGGGCCCCCGACCCCGGCGGCTGCCACGGCCACCACCTTCTTTTTCTTGCCGATGCCCTCAAAGAAGTCGCTGAAGGAGCATCGGGCCGCCTTGGCCGCGTGGCCCCCACCCCGGCCACCAAAACCGCCTGCTTTGCCACCTCGCCGTCGGAAGCCCTGCACACGGTGCAGGAAGTGGGAGATGCTCTGTGTGTCGGGCGCCTGGTGCACTGACTCGGGCTCACTGGGTGTCCAGCAGCGGGGCGGTGAGCACCGCCCAGCGCACTGGCTCTGGCGGTTCAGGAAGGCCAGCTTGGCGAGGACATCTGAGTACTCGGCCTTGCTGTCGTTGGCATCTGCTGCATAGGACGGCTGGGGAGATGCCAGCTTCTGCTTCCGCCGCCGCCGTTTCTTCACCTCCGGCATGGCCATGGTGGCTGCCGCCACAGTGGCTGCCTCGGCCGCCACCACCGCTGGCTCCTTGGGCTTGCCGGGGCCCAGGAGCAGGTTCTTAGGAGGGCGGCCGCGCTTACGCTTGAGAATGATGGGCATCTCGCCGGGTGGGAAGACCACCACCACGTTCCGCCCATTGTTCTTCATCTTCAGCAGCGGGGTGGGCTCTGTGGACACGCGCAGGCCCAGCTCCTTGCCCTCCACGCTCAGGCTGCTGCTCAAAGACGACACCTTGTACGTGGTCTTGTTCCGCCGGCCCAGTGACACGGGGATCTTGGCCATCTTCACCACCATGCGCCGCACGCCCCGGCACTTGCCTCTGCGGGTAGGGACCACTGGGGTCTGGGAGGATTCGGGCTCCAGCTCTGGGACTGGGCCTGGGCCGGGCAGGGTGTGAGGTGGGGGCGGGGGCGGGGGTGGGGGCTCAGCCAGGGCAGCCGCCAGCCCTGTGGGCACAGGCAGGGGCAGCAGACGGCCCTCGGGGCCGGCGTCTGCCTTGCGTCCCCGTCCGGCTTTCCGTCGGCGACACAGGATCTTTGGCCTATCGGTGCGCCGCAAGGCGTATTTGGGGTGACCCTCAGGCCCAGGAGGGCCATGGGGTGAGCACAAGTCCAGGCGCAAGGGCTCAGCCAGCGGGCAGGGTCCCAGGGGCTGCTGGGGCTCCAGGCGGCGGCTAGGGACGTCAAGCAACTTGGGCAGGGGGTCAAGTGCCTGAGGGTCGAGCAGCTGCGACTCCAGGGAGTCGGGCAGGGTATCTAGGGCCTGCAGAGCCAGGCCCGGCAACCCCAGAGGATCAGCAAGGGGTTGCAGGGGCGGCAGCTCCAAAGCTTCCCCGAGCGGCTCTAGTGCCTGCGGGTCCAGGAAGCGGGGCTGGGGGTCTAGGAGCTGAGGCTCTGGCTCAGGCGACGGTGGCTCCAGGGCCTGGGCCTCCAGCAGCTGGGCCTCGGGGCAAGTCAGGGAGGCCAGCTCACTCAGGATGTCGGCGTCAGCGAGTTCTGAGTAATCAGGGCCGTCTGGCTCGGGCTCTGGTGGCAGACCAGTGGCCGCGGCCGTGGCTCCGGGACTATGGCCTTGGCCGGGCTGGGGACTGTCCCTAGGCTCAGGCTCAGGCTCGTAGAGGGGATGGCTGGACCGCTCAGACTTGGCATGGGGGGTGGCCCGCTCCTCAGGGCTGCGGATGCTGTTGGCCAGGCTGGGTGAGGAGAAGAAGCTATACTGAAGGTCCCCGGGGGGCGGGGCAGGTGGGCGGCTGAGCCGGAGGCCACCGCAGTCCAGGTGCACGCCGCTGTGCTGCAGGTCCTGGGAGAGCCGGGTCAGGTCCTTCATGATGTCAATCAGCTGGACCACTGGACGCAGGTTCACCCGCCCGTTGTCCCAGCGCCGTCGGGAGCTGCTGCCGTCTCCCGCGGGGGTGGGGCAGCGGGCCTGGGAGACAGGACGGGCCGCCCTCGGGGGCAGCGGGTCGTCCCCCTTGGCAAGGACTGGTGGGCGCCGGGTGCTGGGGTCCCGGCGTGGGGGTGGGCGCGGGTTCTCGGAGAAGGTGTGGGCGAAGGCCTTGTCGGGTGGGCTGGCAGGGGGCCGGGCGGGAAGCAAGGGCCGGGGGGTGGGGGGGCCGCCGGGGTAGTACTTGGGCTCCCGGAGGTAGTCAGGAGAGCTGCACACGGCACTGGAAGTCACCACCAGGCCCTGGGGCTTCACACGCATCCTGACCTTGTCCTCCACGGGCCGCCGGGCGGGGCCGGGGCTGACATGAGGGTGCGAGAAGCCGGGACCAGGACCTGCCAGGCAGCACAGCCAGGAGGTCCCTCACCGAACGCCTAAGTCCTCGTCAGCTTCCCATGTCCTCAGTGATCCCCGGCACCCCTCCCCTGAGTCCCCTCCCGAAGCCCCATCCCCTTGCTGACCCCCAGCTTTTCCTAAACCACCACACGCATCGGGAACCCCCACAGGCCCCAGTTCCACTTATTGACAGCTCACCCACTTTTGTCTAGACTCTGGCTAAGGGCTGGGGGAGAACAGTTCACCTGCTTTGGGGAGGGAAGCCCATCAGCAAGGTGGATCAAACGTCAGGAGAGGGCCAGGCCCCTGTCAGAGGGCCCGGAGGTCCTATCAAGGACACGGCCTCTTCCTTCTTGCCCCATCCCCAGGGCTCTAGGAGAAGCCCGGCCACTCACCCTCGGCTCTGCCGCCTGGGCTGTCACACTGGAGATCTCTGTGGGCAACGAGACAGGCAAGAGGAGATCTCAGCGGTCTGCTGGCCACAGCCCAACCACTGCCCACCTGCCCATGGGGCCCGGTCTCCCCCACATACCGACCCCAGCTCCCCCAGTACTCCCTCCAGCGCATGCCCAGCTGACCTGAAAGAGAGAGGGCCCCCGTGCCTGGGGGCTCTGCCAGTCGCTGGCTGTCAGCTGGGGGTGCTGCGGGGCAGCTTCGGCCTGAGCCCAGGCCTCGGGGCGTGGACAGCGCCTGGAAAGGACCACCGCAGCTCAGGTTTAGTGAGCACCTACTGCGCGCCAGGCGCTGGGCTGGAAGCTGTCCAGGCATCGTTTCATTTAATTCTTCATACCAATCCTGCGAGGTAGGGGCTATGAATAACCCCATTTTGCAGATGAGGAAATGGAGGCTGAGATGAAGTGACATCATTCACTCATTCATATACTCATTATCTATGGAGTGCCTACTTTGCACAAGAGCTGGGTAGACAAACATTTAACAGATTATGGTAAGTGACTTAATTATTAGCAGGATAAGAGCTGCAAAAAAAAACGGAAGAGTGCCTGAGGTCAGAGGTTTAACAATCATACCAGGGAGTCAACAACGACAAAAGCACATATTCTGGGGACGCCTTCTCTGCTGCCAAACACGGGACTAAGCGCTTTATGTGGACTACCTCATCTGACCCCCCTGCAAACCTGGGATCGATACGATTATCATCCCTGCTTCCACAGTCGAGGAAACCATCCGCTGGAAGGTGGTAAGCACCATGAAGGCAAGGATTTCTGTCCTGCTGACTTCTGTGTGTATCTCCCAACCCCCGGATCAGCACACGGCCCACAAATGTGCTTCAAAAAATATTTACTGAACGAACGAATGAATGAATGAGGCACACAGAACAATCAGCCCTGGCTTTCCCCCTGAGGCTCTCTCTCTTTCCTCTCCAGACCCAAAAGTGGGACCCAAGTAGGATGTGGAAGGAGGGAAGGAGATTAAGAATGTGAAAAGGGACATTCTCCGCCCTCCATGCCACCTCTAGCCTCCATCCGGCCCCTGCTACATATTTTTAGAGCCCTCTTTGTTTCGCCTTCACTGTATTTATCATGACTGCAGTCAATTACTTGTACGACTGGGTGTTCAGTGTGTCTGCTCCCCAAGTATGGGCTCTTCATGGGCAAGGACTGTGTCTGTCTTGTTTTCCGTTGTGTCCCCTGACCCCAGGGCCCGGGCTACGGATGCTACCTAAATATTTACCGAGTGACTCCCTGAGCTGGTCAGGGCAGAGTTGGGATTTAGATCCAGGCATGTCTGACCCCCAAGGGAGCCTGGGGACTCAGGGCCCCGGCTGATCCCCAAGAGCTGGGGTTTGGGGGAGCAGGGAGCTGAATGGTCCTTGACCACTGGGAGGATCGCTACCCAGGGTTGTTAACTCCACAGGAAGACTGCAGAGCTGACTTGGGGACAGGGGAGTGTGGGCAGGGACACTCGTCCACTCGCCTTTGGTGGGCGGCAATTTGCAATCTATGAAGCACCTCCACATATATGACCCACTGAATCTTCACCGAACCTGGGAGACATGGTTTACTGTCTCCACGTTACAGAGGAAACAGGCTCAGAGCAGTTGTATAACTTGCCTGAAGTCATATAGCTGCTAAGTGGCAAGATTCCTAATTCTGCCACGTCCAAAGCCTCCTTCTACTCCCAGCTCCTGCAACTCTCCTTCAGCCACTCCTGAAAGTGCTCCTTCTAGAGCTGTGGCCTCACTTAAGGCTGGAAGGAACCCTAAAATCATCTAACCCATTGGCTTCCAAACCCTGGGCCTGGGGAAGCTATGTAACCTTGCAGATACCCAGACCCTAGTCCAGGGGAGTCTGACTCATAAATCTGAAGGGACATCTGGGATTCTGCATTTTTAATCGGCTCCCCTAGTGGCTATGCTGTTCTAGTGCCACCTCGTGCGCCTCCCATTTTATAGATGAGGAAACTGAGACCGGAAGAGGGAAAGAGACTTTGCCCAAGACCACAAAATGGCATGAGGAGGGCCTCTTTGTTGCTCATCCAGGCAGAACATCCCCTGTCCCTGCAGGTCCCAGGCCTCAGCTGTTCCTCACTGCCCCATTTACTCGATCACTCAGGGTTCTGTTCTCTCTCATGCCTGCCGGCAGACTGTGGCCTGGCCCCTTCTAGGCTAGGCTCTCTCTGCTTCAAGAATCTCACTGTTGCTCTCGCAGGATGGGCTGCGGGTAAGACACTCACAAAGGAGCGAAGGGTCTCAGACTCTGTGGAGTCTCCAGGTCAGATTTCCAACAGTATGCTTGATCCACAATGCTGCCCTCTTTGAGATGCCTACCAGAAGCCATCATCCCTCCCTTACTGAGGGTGGGGCTCACCAACCCTCCCTGCTCTGGAGACCTCCCACTTGGGGCCTGAGGGTGTGATCTTGGCAGAAGAGAGAAACCTCCTCTCCAGTGGTTGCTTCTGTTCCACCCACCCGTGAAGACCTTTGGGCACGTCGTCCTGCCAGACCTCCTGACTCTGTCCACTGCTCTCTCGCAGCCTCCAGGATCTGAGGGAAGCAGCTGGCACCCCTCCCCACCACACCCAGGCATCCATTTTCTTGGACCCCTCCCAAGGGCACCACCTATCCCACGTCTGTGAACAAAGTCGAAAAGGTTCTTCTGTCCATCTGTCTGCTTCTGGGTCAGTGTGTCTGAGCCTGCCTATGGGGACACCAGCTGGCTGGGAGGGAAGGGGGCTGGGGGCCCCAACCTGCTGTGCACAGTGCCGGGAAGGGCCAGCCCACATCCTTGAGTCCCCAGCCCCACCCTCCCCCGCTGCGGCTGTGACCACCCCACCCCTTCCCCAGGCAGCCTCCCCTCCCCCACCCACAGCCTCCCCAGGGGAGCCAGGCTGCCAGCCCCAGCTCTCACTTCCGGCCTCATGGCCCTCTCTCTAGCCTGCATACTCCTCCCCGCCCCCCCAACACCATTTCCCTCCCAGCCCGGACTGAAGCCTCAGGGATGTCCTCAAATGGAAAACTCTGCATCAAAGGGGCTATCACTGCTGCTGTGAAACTTCCCCCATCACCTCCCTTCAGGGCCTTTATCTCCCAGGATCTGCCCCTTCAGGAACTATGCATCACCCCTCTCAACTTCCTTATCTTCAGCCCTCTCCCAGCCACCCAATTGTACCTGAAGATCTTCTTCCAACCTGACTCCAGACCAAAATCATAACAAAAATAACAACGATGAAAAAAATAATGGCAGCTGTCACTTATTTGGCATGTAAATGGTGGCTCAGAGAGGTTAAGTAATGCCCTTAAGGACAAACAGCCATGACAGGGAAGAGCTGGCGCCTGCACTTAGGTTTGTTGGGCTCCTCTAAACCAAACTTCTTCACTGTCCAGAGAGTCAGCCCCCTCCCCTGAAGCTTCCTCTAACTGTCCTAGTCCCAACCACCAGTTCTAATTTTTGACTTCTAATCTACCCCGACCCAGCTTCGGCACCCCTCCCACCTAGGTCATCTCATGCAGTACCCTCCCTCACCACTAGGTGTCCCCTTAGAGCCACTGACGCCCCCGAGGGGAGCAAGCCCCGCCCCCCCCCCTGGAATCATCAGGGCCCCCCACCACAGCACAGCACACCCCCCCCCACCCTACCCCCAGCCACACAGAGCTCCTTTGTGCAGCCCTTGTCCACCCCCTTCCTGCCCGGAGCGGGGCACCTGGCAAGCAGGTCTGCCCCAGGCCCGCCCCCTGCCAGCCCCCAGCCCTGGGTGCCAGGTGTGTGGGCACCAGCGCCAGCTCTGGCTGAACCTGAGGGTCACCCTGCCGGGCAGCCCTCCCTTCCTCTCTCCGAGGTCACCCAGGGACTGTGCTTCCCGCCCTGCTCCGCCCCCATCCCCTCCTGCCCTTGGCCCTTCCAGACTCCTGTCCTTGTCTTTCCTTCTGTCTACTGGAGGACTTCCCTCCTCCAGCCCCACCAGGCCCTCCCCACAGCCTCTCACCACCGCCCACCTCCTTCCCCTGAGAGCTCCTTGTTCTGCCCCCCCCCTCCCCGCCCAGGTCTGAAGAACTCCTCCTCCTGGAAAGTTGCTGCTGGAAAGGAAGTGACTTCAGCAATTTGGCCACAAGGCTGGGCACTGCTGAGCCCAGCTCAGCTGAAGGCTTGCCCAGCCCACCTCCAAAGCACAAACGGAGCCACGTGCACACACCACCCCCAGGGTGCAGCCGGAACCCTGAACACACGCTTCCCCGGTGATACGCGGAAGGATCTTCGTGTACACACCCCACCCCACTGTACTCACACATCACCCCAGTGTGTTCAGATTCTTGTCCACACACCTCTCCAGTGTACACTAGCGCCCTGCACACAGACACCATCCAGCGTGGCACACACAACACTCCAGTCTCCCCACACCTGCCCAGGACACGCTCTGAATCCTGCACACTCACTCCGATGTACCACATACACAGCCTCTGAATGTCCCCCAGCCCAGTCCACTTACTCTTGTGTGCAGAACCCTGCACACCTGCGGACAGAGTCCTGCACGTGCCTGCTTGCACACAAGTCAGAGGACTTTGCACACGAGATGCTCTGTGCACATACAGTCAGGTACATCCAGCCCTGCATCCTCCATAGCTGAACCTCCCCACACTTACAATCCCAGGAGGCCCCGCCCCCAGACCTCAGGCCCCAGGAATGCTCTTTTGGAAGTTGGGTGGGGTCCCCAGGCAGGCCGGGATCTAGGGAGCTTCCTGGAGCCCGAGGCTTGAGGCTTCATGTGTCAGTTCGGGGAGTTGCCTCTGCAGGGCAGGGCAGCCCCACCTGGCCTCTGTGGCTCCTGAGCCTGGGTGGGCTAATTCGGGCCCAGAGTCAGGAGGTGGGTCCTGCCCCCACCCCTGCCCCATCTCATCTCAGGAGGGCAGCCTAGCATACCCGAATTACCCAGGTCCTCTCAGCTTCCACAGACTCTAGAAGGGAGGGGTCCTGCGGGGTCAGCTTCACACATCAGGCATTCTGGTCTCTACCTCTGTCCTGGGTTCTGGTCACTGTCACAACCCCTTTCCCTTCCCAGTTCTCTCAGGTCATCCAGGTGCAGGGAAGAGTCCCCAGACTAGGAGGCAGGACTCCAGGGAACTGCCTGTATATCCACGGACCTCACCTTTCTGGATAATGGGGAGTCTGAGTAAGTTGGGTTAAAATATTTTGATTCTAAAGGGCCTCTTTTTGGCTTAAGCTGGGAGGGGGGAAATCCCTGCCATGACTGGGAAGGAAGTACCCCTGATCCCCACTTCCTGGGGTGGCCAGTCACAGACCCGGCTTCCCTATACACTGTTACCTGAGCAGGCTGTGCAGACAGGCCCAGCTCAGCAAGAAAGGCCTGTCTTCGCCAGTGGTTCCAGAGTGGTCTCTTCGGCGGCCTGAGAGTCGCCCCAAAGCCGGGGCCCTCTGCACGCACTCAGCTGGGCAGGCTCTGGGGTCCAGGCCAATGGGCAGACAGGCAGGCAAGCTCCCATCTGTGGAAACAAAAACAGCACCGCAGACATAAGCATGGATACGGGATGAGCCAGAGAGAGGGACCAGGAGGCCATCCTAGATGGGGTCCACTCTTGCACAGGATGAAATTGGCTCCAACTTCATTTCACTGGGGAGTGTGAGCCTACCTCTTGAAACCCCAGGTAGCATCGTCGTGCGGGTAGGTACATGTACGCGTGAACATGAACACACATGCTATGGTGAAAAGAACCTGGCCTTGGGAGTCAGAATGGTCCTTGGCTCAACTCTCACCAACTATGTGATCTTGGGCAAGTCAGTTAACCTCTCTGTCTCTCAGTTTTCTCATCTATAAAAAGGGGAGAGCTTATGAATGGGGAGAAGCACGCTGGGGAAACTATAAATGCTAAGAGCTCACTTACAACGTAGGTGTGAGAGTTGCTGTTCAAAGTGATGGTGAATGCAGATTTTCATGAGAGGTGTATAGGCAGCTGGCATTTACCCTTCTCCATCAGCGACTGGTTATATGTCTCTTGTTTTCTTTAATAATCGTGGCCCTCCTTACCGCCCCCCCCCCAACCGGCTTCCTGCCCATTTGTCTGCCTCCCTGAGGTCTGTACTGAAGCCGAGAGTGGGTCTGGGAACCAGGCCTCATGGACTGCTTATAGGTTTTGGTTGCCTGGGAATGTGTATGTGTGTGTGTGTGTGTGTGTGTGAGAGAGAGAGAGATCCTGCCTGTACAGATGCACGTCTGTGAGCGTCAGCTGTCTGGGCAAATACACCTGTGTGTGGCTTCCTGGGTCTACTTAGCCTTCTGTATGCTTCTCTGGGTGTATTTGTATGTCTATACGAGTATATGTGTAAGAGTGTTACACGTATGGGACTGTGTGTGTGTGAGCTGATACTTGTGTTCAGTGTCTTCAATTATATGTGTGGGTGTGTGCACCTGGGTCTGTTCAGTTCTTTGTGTGTGTCCAGCTGAGCCTATGTCTGCACGCCTGTGGGGACACAGAGGTGTGAGTGTGTACCTAATGTGTGACAGGTGTGCCCAGCTGTGGTCAGGGGGTGAGTGCCCATGTGTGCACACAGCTCTCTGCATCTCACTGCTGTCAGGAGCTGAACCGGCTTCTGCCCATCTCTGACTCTCTGGGCGTGTGTACTGGGGCGGGGCGTGTGTCCCTGCAGGCTTCCAATCTCGAGGCCTGTGACTGCGGGCACTGGTGTCACTGTGGATCAGTGTTGCCTCCCTCCTACCTCTGCCTTTCTCTGGGTTTTCAGGGTCATGGTGTGATGGCATGACTGGTCACAGTGTCCCTGTGGGTCTGTTTCACTGTGGGTCAGTATGTGCTCACGTGTGTAACTCTGCGTGTGTGTGCTGTATGACTTTATCGTTGTGCATCTGTGTATGTCAGTGGGTCCTTGTGCCATGTCATTGTATGTCTGTGTCAGTGTCAACATGGGTGAGTCTGTGTGCCATGGTATGCCTGTCAGTAAAACGGTGCCTCAGTGTTTGTGTGGTGCCTTTATGTAACTTGTCAGTGTGTGTGCGCACGCGTGTGTGTGTGTGCATGGGAGACCCTTTGTGAGACAGTGTGTGTCTGTGTCACTGTGTTTGTATGCCTGCTTCCCTCCTCCTTCCCTATCTCCTGCGTTCTCTCTCTCTCTCTCTCTCTTTCTGTAGGAGCCAGACAACTCCCCAAGCCTGGATTAGGGACAATTTATCCACAGGCAGAGAAGGAGAATTCCAACCTGCCAGAGCCTCCCTCCTCTGATCCGTCCCCCCTTCCCCCCTGGTTGGGTGGGCAGAGAAATGCAGCCGGGCAGCTCCCAAGCCCTTGGGGAGCCCCCACCTCTGCAGCTCCCCAGAGGCCCAGGAGGGCGGAAAAGATGGAAATCTGGGTGGCCCCAGAGCCCTCCAGTGGGGGTGGATTGGCCGCCCCCCCCCAGGCCGCCACAGCTCAGCTCATCTTGGCCCTGTTCTCCTACATATGGTGGTGGTGGGTGGGGGGAGTCTGCATGAGGTCTGCCTGGCCCTGGGGGCTGGGGCGACCTAAGGAGTAAAGCTGCTTCCAACCCCTCCACAGCCTGATACTCCCCAACTGATAAACGCCAGCTTCGACACCCCCGGAAATGTAAATGACTGGGGAACTTGCGCCTGTGCCCGCACAGGCTGGGGGGATGCTGGGAGGCAGGGGACAGCGTGGTGGGGGGAACGCAGCAAGGGGGGAGCAGGGGCTGAGCTGGGACTAAGGCTCCCTTCACGGTGCTCCAAGCGCAAGGCAGAATCACATGTTTCCCATTAGCTGCTCTGGCCTCCTTGTTCAGGGGGTGTTGGCTGGGGGAGATTTGTTCTGGTTGCAGACACCAGCCGAGACCACACAAGAGAGAGAGTAAAAGACAGAGAGAGAGAGAGAGAGAGAGGAAGAGAGAGAGAGAGAGGAGAGATTGAACGCCAGAGGGAGAGGAAAAGACAGAGCGAGCGAGAAAGATACACAGAGACACACAGGGAGAGAGACAGAGACAGAGAGACATGAGAACAGAGACAGGCACACACAAACACAAAAGCAGAGGGACAGAGACGGGTGATGGGAGAGGCTAACAGAGTGGGGGACAGGGAGAGCGACAGGGAAGGCGACTGCAGTGCAGAGAGACGAGTCAGAGGCTGAGGAGCGAGTCAGTGAGGCACAGAGTGCGAGTCAGGCCAGGAGGGACTGAGGGGGCGGAGGGCGGCGCTGGGGCCGCAAGCCTGATGGAGGGGACCCGAGGGTGACAGAGCGGGAACCTGCTGCAGGGCCAGCGAGGGCAGGGGCGGTGGGTGGGGACGCGGGTGGGCAGGGGGAGTGGCTGCTCCAGCGCCACCGGGCGGGGCAGCCAGGAGCCTGGAGCCTCCCGCCTCCTGACCCTCGAGCCTGGGAGAGATAACAGGCCGGAATAGTGCTGACTTGCGGTTCAGAAATCCAATATCCTCCGCGGCGCACTAATCGACTACCTGAGCTCCCGGTCCGCGCCGCCGAGCTGCCCCGATTAATCCTGCGGCTCCACAGCCTTAATTAGTTTAACAGTTTCAGGGGCAGGAGAGGCAGGCATAGGGGCTCCCAGACCTGCGGGGACACAGGCCCCCATGCCAGCCCTGCCTGGTGCCCCACCTCCCCAGTCACACCTGCCCCAGCCCCAGAGGCCCCTTTCCACACCATCTGCAAAACACTGGGTCTTTCCTCCTGGGGGACAGTCCCAAGGGCTGGCACCTGGGTCAGAAGGTAGGTCTTGTGGAACAGAGACTCCCCCATCCCAGCTTGTCCCTGCACCCGTGGCCTGGGTGCTTGCTCTGGCCTGCGCTTTGGGGCCCTGCCAACCGTCAGCCCCATACCACTGAGCAACATGTCGTCTCTTTAGGGTGACAGACAAGCTCCCAAGTTACTGACAACCCCCCAACAGCATGAGCTAATCACACATGTCACTCCACACACCGGCATGAGATAGGCACATGGTGACATCTCACACATACCCAACAGTCAGAGACACAGGAGTACGAGAGAGTGACTACCCTCCTAACAGGATGAGCTAAGCACAGAGCCTGTCACTTCCTCCAAGGCCTGAGATGGGCACATCTGATACCCCAGACAGTATGAGACAAGAACACAGGTTGTCACCCTCACAATGGTGTAACTGACATACAACCAGGCGCCCCCTCACCCACTGATAGGATGCGAAATGCACAGAGAGCCTGTCTCTCACTCACTGTCTCTCTCTCTCTCTCTCTCTCACACACACACACACACACACACCCCTCCCTCACCTTCCAGGTGTGACAGAGGTACGGACCCCTCCCCCGAACACACAGAGTATAAGCCAGGGACACGACCTCACCCCTTCCCCATCAGTCCTCCCTCCAGACTGCAGGATGGGTAAACGACATGTCACCCTGGCTGCTCTGGACCGGTGACAGCCCACCCCACCCCTCCCCCGTCACTGCCAGCCTGGTGGTGCCGTCCTCTGCCTGCAGAGGCGTCACAGCTCACAGGGCATGAATGTCACCCCAGCACTGCCAGAGCCGGGCCCAGCCACATGTTGCCCCAGTGACAAACACCACTGGCCCCAGGAGGTGGAGGTGCACAGGGCTCTGGGCGTGACCTTGGTCCCTGAACACCAGGAGGGGAGGTGCCGTGGCCTCCCTCCTGGGTAACCCACTGGCCCCGGAGCTGGGGAAGATGAGTGCTGGGAAGAAAGCCACCTGGGCACACAGACAACCTGAAAATGCCACCTCCCCAGGCAGCCACCCCCACCCCACTTCTAACTGAATGTAGCTGTTATCGAGGGAGGGGGCAGACTGTGTAGTGGAGGGAGGCTGTCAACGAGGCCTGAGGAGCAGATCCTACAAGACTTCTTAGAGGCGGCGGAGGGTAGGCAGGGTAGGGGTTGCTGTCACCATGCCCTCAGGGCCCAGGACTGAGGGAGTGGGACGATAGCTTCAGACTCCCACTGTGGCCAGGGGAGCCCCTCTTTCTTACAAGGGCCCCCTCTCCAAATTCAGGCCACAGAGCCTGACAAGGAGGCCAAAGTCCAGGGGCATGACTCACCCAGGGAACAGGCCCAGCCTGCTGGCCAGAAAGTGAGGGAGGACAGGAGCCAAGGGGCCTGGGTTCAAGTCTGAACTCCTCCCAGGCCAAGCACAGTGACCTTGGAGCAGAGGCTCAGTCTCTTTGGCTTTGGGGAGGTGGGGAAGAGGCAGCAGCCAGGGAAGCGCTGAGGCTGCAGACCAGCAAGCAGAGAACTGAGGGCCACGGGAAGGAGGACACAGCGGGTCCAGCCCCTGGCTCCACCGCTTCCTCACCAGGAACCTCAGCTTTCTGTACCTCAGTTTCCTCAGCTGTAAAGCAGGAACGATAACGTCAGCCTCACGAGATAACGCAGCATGAAGTGGACAGGTGCTCAGGAAACGGGAGCTTCTTATTGAAGAGGGGAAAAGAGACTAAGAGAGGGCAGGAGACTTGCCCAAGCCACGGATCAAGCCAGTATCGGCTGAACTCGGCCTCCACCTCCAGGCTTCCCACCTGAAGCTGTTTCTTAAGACTGCTTGGAGACTGACTGTGTGTGCACGTGTGTGTCAGGGTGCTGTTGCTTATAGAGCGGCCCTACTGTCCAGTGAGGATCAAGGAAATGGATAGGATATAGCCTGACCTTTACCCTAAACCCCACTTGGCCCACCTTCAAACTTTGGACCAGAGGGCCAGCTCTATGGGAGGGAGGCAGCCCACACTCCAGCCCCCATAAGCAGCACCAGCACCTGGTGCTCCGAAGGACTGGGGGACTGGGAGGTCAGTGTCTGGGGCCCTCTCGTTGTACAGGAGCTCAGAGAGGGACAGGCCTAGCCTAAGGTCACACAGCATGACAGCAGCAGAGTCCAGAGCCCTGGCCGGCGACAGCCTCAGAGCAGAGTTGTCTAGCCCCTAGGGTGGCTGGAGCTGGGGGGCCCTGGGGGACTGAGCAAAACGTGGCGACAGATGGCCTGCCGAGGCAGCGGCGATCTGGGCGGCTGGCAGGCATGCTCGCTCCCGCGCAGGGAAGCGGCTAATTTTAGCTGAGGCCTCGATGCCAGCTTTGTTCCCCCCACCCACCCGCCGAGGGGGCCCAGCATGCCTTGCGTGCAACCCGCCTCCCCCAGGCACCCCTACTCCCCCGCCTGGCCACTTGGTGAGTAGTGCCCAGACCCCAGGGTCCTAGAACTGTCTGTCTGGCCAGGTCTCATCACACCCAGAGGCAAGGGCTGGGCCCTGGAGGCCTGGCATCCCCACCCCAGGGCCTGCTTCCCATGACGGGAAGCTCATTCTGAAGAGGGGCTGTGGGGAGAAGGGCTAGAGGCCACTGCCCAGACTGGGAGGGAGGGCCTGACAGCAGGGGCTGCCAGTCTTTGCGGGGGGGTGGGGGTGGGCATTGTCCTCCACCAGATACTTAAGGAGACAGGACCCTTATTCTACCCCTGCCCCGAGCCAAACAAATTCTTCTGTGCTGGAGTCCCCCTCCAGCACAGCGTAGTGTTGAGCAAGGGGGTGGGAGTCACTTTACCCTTTCCCTGTTCTTTATAAGCCCGATTTTGCTCCAGGAACTCAAAGTACTTTAAAAAAAGTCAGAGATAGAGCAAGGGTAGTACCCCACCCGCACCCCGTGCCACTGGGGGAAACTGAGGCACAGTCTGAAACAGCTTTCATTGTAGCAGGGGAGGAACAAATCCCAGGAATCGGTGAGGGAAGCCTAAACATGCTCTACTTTGAGTTCTTAGAGCTGGGGGCTTCTTGGGCCAGCTCAGCCCCTAAGACTACCCTCTGCCTCCACCTGGGCTGGTAGAAGGTAAGCTAGATGGATGGAGCCCGTCCTCTGAAACCCTGGGAAGGGAGGCCTGGCATTCTTGGTTCCTGGTACCCCACCCCCTGTTGGCTCTTTGACCTTAGAACCTCTCCTCCTCATCTCAGGTTCAACTACATGTGCCCAATGGGGTGCCAGGACATCTGGCCCCCGCTTGAAAGGGGACTCCTTCGGGGTGATTCTGGAGGGGCCCCCTCTCCCAGTTCCAACCCAGGGGCCGTGAGGGTAATGGCCAAGTGGGAAATAGATAAAGAAGGCTGGAAAGAAATCTATGTACTAGAAGGAGAGAGTCGGAAGAAGAGAGAGAGAATGAGAAACCAAGGCAAAGAATCAGATTCAGGAAGAGAGAGACGGAAAGAGGGGGAATGTGGGGGCAAGAGAAACAGGGCAGAATGAGGGTGAAGAGGCAGGAAGAGCTGAGGAGGGAGGGGCTGCGGGAGAGACAGAGAAGAAGCCAGAGGAAGGAGAAGAGTGAAAAAGAGACTCAGGAAGAGAGGGACAGAGGAGGAGGAAAAAGACAAAGAGACAGAGAGACAGGCAGGATGAGGCAGAGACAAAGACAGAGAGAGAGAGCAAGACACACGCAGAGGGGAAGGAGATGGAGAAGGAGTTGCCGCGGACGGGGCAAGGCTCAGGGAACTGAAGACACCACAGGGAGCTGGAGACACACAGAGGGACTGACACACCCAAAGACCAACAGACACAGAGTGAAAGGGCCAGACGCACTCAAGAGACTGGGGAGGGAGGAAGGGGGAGACACTAAGTGATAAAGTGTGTGTGTGTAGGGGGGCAGCAGGAGTAGACAGAGGCAAGGAGGGAGGGGGCCTGAAGAGGAGGAGGGGGAGATGTCATCGTCAGAGCTGGGGGGGACCGGACAGAAATGGAATGTGGGTCTGGGCATGAGGCTCACAGATGCATCGGCTCCGGTTTCAGCTGGGGCAGTTGGCTGCTGGGGGGGGGGGGGGACGGTGATGGTGGGGAGGGAGAAAGGAGCAGAGCTGACAAGGGAGGGGGGCCTGTTGCCATGGCTGCGGGCACGGCAGGGGCACAGTCTGCTGGCACTTGTAGTTCTGGGCATGGTAGGGGGCAGACTGAGGGGGA